TCTCCAGTTGATGATCCAATGACGAGTGGATGATGTGAAACCAAGGTGCATGATTGGATGGGGCATGAGTGTTTCTGCAGACTGGGTCTATTAATATTTCACAAACTAGTGATCTACTGCGATTTTCCCACTCAATCATCTGTAGGGTTTACAGAGAAAAGACCTGTATGTGCTGTGATATGCAAAGCCTTGTTTTAAATGACCACACCCAACCACACAAGCCTGATGTGCGCTAATTCTGGATGACAAATAATATAATTGCTTTATTTATTAATAAAAGGTCCAAGGTGGCTGCTCTGGATTTTAATCCTGCTAACATGGCTACAAAATGAAGCAAGGCCTTCCTTTGACCTTCGCTTTGAAATTCGTGTTTGGTGCAATTTAGCTTTTAGCAGGTGTAAGAAGGTGACAAGTGGCCTAGTTTTTATATGTTTGCTGTTTTTGTCATTAACGTGTGGCTGTGTTTTTTGTGGGCAGGTGGTGCGCATGTTGGTGAGTGCCCACCCCAATCTCATGACCAGTCACACTCGGCTACACACTCCGCTTCACCTGGCTGCCCGCAACGGACACCACAGCACCATCCAGACTCTGCTTGAGGCCAGCATGGATGTAAACTGCGTGGTAAGAAGGCACCACCACATTCCTTTTTAAACTTAATCTCCCGAATTCTTCTTTTGAATCTATGTGCTTCCTTCATCTGATCAGAGAGCATATACTGTATGTATATTTATGTGTTACATGGGTCCTATGGTTTGGTGGTGGGGAAGGATGTATAATTAATTGGGAGAACAGACTGTAAGAGAGAAAGAAAGAAGAAGAAAGAGGACAGGGTGTTCCAGAGAGGGCCCTCCTTTTACACACCTCTTTATATTTTCATTAGAGGAAAGGGAAACGCGGTGTCGGTTACAATATGTGGAGCTTCATTACTGTTCGGTTTCTGATGCGATGTTTGGACCTCTCCTCTCTTCTCACCTTTATATTTTGTCTTTTTGTGTATTCTGAGTTGTCTGGGCGATTCAAATACAACTTAGTCCCGACCCTTTCTGGACCATTTGCTTTTGTGAAGTCTTGTCAAAATGCAGCCACGCTTTGCTGATTTCTTGAGCACTGTTGTCTTTCTCTGGAGAAAAGCTGAACTGTTTGACTTTGATCACTTGTCTTAAATGTAGAAATATAGCCCTTTACTGTGTTAACGGTTCTCGTTGGACTTATTACTGGATTGCTCACACCACAAGCTTTATTTTGACCCGGCACAGAAGAACATCACAGCTGATCATTGGCTTAGTGGGCTTATTCGTTTTTTCTCTGGACAGATCATCAATGTGTACCAATAATGGCGCTATTATTTCAAAATATAAAACCGCTTGTGATTGTTTGTTCATTCATTGTCCAACTATAGATCCATGCATCTTAACTACTTATCCAAGAGCCTGTCCCAGCTGTCAGCTGTTCTCATGTGGCAACAGTGCTAACTGCTGCAGCTACCTGCTGACCAACTATAGATACTTTTCACATCTCACAGCTTGTTATAAGGTCATCACTCATTATATGCTGGCTTGGGGGTTTTGGTGTCTAATGTGCAAGCCATTGTGACAGAAGCTGTGTAGTTTAGAACCAGGTTAAATTCATTATTCATTAAAACAGCTGGTAAACAGTTGTATTTGTTCTGAAGTCCTGCAAAGTCAGCATTAATTGGATTGTTTTTTGACGAGAGAATGTGGACTGAAGACAAGGCTTAGGATTTACGACTTGTTCTATGTTCCAAGCTTATGCATGACTAAAAGAATGAGATTACGCATACTTTGCAGCTAAAGTTCATTTCCCTTTTACAATTTGTAGTTTAGAACAAGGCTTATGAGATTTTTGGCAGAGATTACACTAACCAGGAGTTGCTCTTTTGTATGGAAAGGAGCCAGCTGAGGTGGTTCGGGCAGCAGCTCAGGAGGCCTCTTGAGTACCTTTTGGAGTCTTTCCAGGTGTGGCCAGCTGTTAAGAGACCCCAGGGTAGACCCAGAACTTACTGCATGCGCTGTATCTTAAATGGCATGGAGGTCTTTGGATGCCTGAGGAGGAGTACTGATGCTTATTCTGCTGCCAATATCACCTGATCGGAGATAAACGTCAGACACTGTATGGATATAATTTACTGGGATTAGCCACTTTTAAGTCCATATTTTGTATTTCTATATTTTATTAAACAAATTAACTTTTTTTAAATTCAACATTTTCACCAGAAATATTACTTCACTGCAAACAATGTCCAGGTACGAGCTTTTAAACAAGACAGAGGTCTAAGCAGCTATGTGAAATTCATTTTACATTAAATGGCATTTAGAGCCCACTTTGATCTTACGTAGGCTGTACTAGTGAAATGCCACTTTTCTGTCAGTATCAGTAACTACACATTTAATCCCTGAGGTGTCTTAAAATAAGAAAGAAATGCACAATTTCAATAATACATCTATACATGAAAAAGAAATGCTGATTTACTAAATAATTGCAACGATAAAACTGAAAGTTTTTATTTAAAAAGGCTCAAAATTCTGTTTTACAGTGTTGGACGTTGTTGTTTCACGCTTCTTTACTGGAGTTGGTTTTGTTGGATTGAAGAATCGAAGCCGAAAAGCAGCTCCAGGAGTTTCAGAGCTCAGTCAGAATCTAAAGCCCCCTAAAGCTGCTGATTCTTAATCAAGGGACATTTCTGCTTAGAAGCTATAGAAACAGGGATCGATCAGAGTTTGTACACACATGCGACAAAACAATCCTTCAAAGCCTTTATAGGAAATTTCCTTCAGTGCCCCAGAAGCTTTTATGGATCTAAAACGTGTAGCTGTTGCTATGTGGATCTGAGAGACTGTAGAAGTTAACTTCTGCTGGTGTCAAAATCTGATCTGACTCTATTATCATTCACTGCTGAGACATATGGCGTAACAGATGCTACGTTCTCCCCCTTTTTTTTTTGGCTGTGTAAAGTACAGTTTATATACAGTATAAATAGCATGTGGATGGAGGAGGGTCTGCGACTACAAGACAAATATGAGCTTTTTTGCCGTACTGTGACAGCGTCCATTAGAATGTGTAGCAAAGAAGAATTTGATGGGCACGGACGTGGATGTGTGTCTGTGTGGATTCCATATCTGGAAGGATGAAAACAGTTTGACCTCTTGGATATGAGAATCACTGTGAGGCTCTCACAGTGAGGCTATGCATGACTCAGTGGCACTGCACCTATCTTCTCTGCCTTCTGTCCTTGTTACACACTGCGGTGTCTGTTTATGCCCGAATGTGTGCATGCCTGCTCAGATCTGAAGAGCAGGGCTGTGTTTCTCTGCAGGGATTTGGCCTGAGGCTCCATGTGTCTAGAGCAGATGAACACTACACGCCTTTGATTTGCCTCATCTCTCTTCACACGTCTGCAAATCCTCCGCTCTCCCCTTTTCTTACTTTTCCTCTCTACCTACTGATCAAGAGCGCTGCAAGTCTGATATCTCAAATCGTCTCCTCAGTTTACCCTTGACTTTTGCTCCGCTCGTGTCTGTTGCTGAAAATAATGCATAGAGGCATCGAGTTCTCTTTTGCTCTATTAGCTATCATTATCATACGTTGGATGAGAGTAGCTGTTGCACACTTGGCGAGTAAAATTGGCTCTTTGGTTGGTTAAACTTGATAGTCAATTAGAGTGAGCCTACACATGTCACCTGACCTGGAACGGGTCAAACACTGCTCGACTGTAATGGTAGGCATTTCTGTTAAATTGGGTTTTCATTTAATCTCCGTGTTGCACGGTAATTGGGCTCTCCTGGTTTTACTCATAGACTGCACGTAAAAGATGGATATAGCAATAATGATTCCACAGCATTGGCTACACTTTTCGGACCTTACTCCCTTTAATATACAGTTTTTGCTTTTGTAAAAGCCCCATGTGGCTGTTTGCATTTGATGTTCAGTTGCAATAACATCAGGTAAACAAGCAGACTTAATGGCTTCCCTGAAGAGCAAAGGCTTTTTTAATGCCACTTAGGTGAGAAACACAGCGAGTGTCAAGTTGTCCTCTTTTCCCCACCTGCTTTCCGCTCTTCTCCATTTCCCCTCCTCTTGCCTCGCTCGTTCTTTCTCTCTGTATTTTCTGCAAGGCCGCACTGTCAGAACTGTACTATAATGTTGACGGTGCAGAGTGGATGCTGTGGGTGACTCACAGATGGCATTCCAAGAATGGAAAGCAAAGTGTGCGTGTGTGTGTGTGTGTGTGTGTGTGTGTGTGTGTGTGTGTGTGT